ATATTGTATTTCATTAAGAAAATACATATGGATTTTTTAATTCAATGAAGATATTTTATATGTAGTTATTACTCATGGAACAATTTGTTAAATATATTTGAAGAGGTCTATTACCAAATGTAGTGTGACAAGCAATGTAGTATTCAAAATGAGCACAATACCAAATATATTATTCTGTTTTAAAAAAAATTAAATGTATCTGACTCAAAATATCTTTGTGATGTATTGTATGAACAGGTTAGTATTTCACTGGGAACCATTGGCTGCTCTTGCTTGGAAGACTAATGTGATGAAATACTTTCATTTGCTAGCAACACTAATACAAAAAAAAAGTTTCAAAGAAGGAACAAGGGTCTTTTCATACTTGATTATATTCAAGGCCAAGTATTTTGTCTGCTGTGACTAACTGTGACTGATGCTAGATGTTTCAGAACATCTGCAGTAGGTCACAGATAATTTCCATCTTATATAGTTCTCCTTTTGGTTTCCAATAAAACAAGATGGATATAACTTTGATGAGAAAGTATTTCCAGATTTATTTGTGAATTATTAAGATAACAAGATAGTGTTGCTACCTACTTATTGTTTCTTGAAATTTTTTGAGCTCAGCAGTTCAGTTTCTGTAGCAGCTTCCACATCTAAACCAGACCTGCTACAAAGAAGTATTACCTTTATATATTTTCCCCTGAGTATTTCTTAAGCTTGAATTATGAGATGCAGTGAGTAGAATCTGTTATCTCTTAGACATTCTCCTTTCTGTTCATCCAGATGTATTTCACTAAAAGATATAAAAGGGCTTAAGAAGTTCTGAAGAGAAGAAACTACAGTAAGAAGATCCACAAATAAACAAATCTTTGTCCAATGTCTTCTCACACTTTTCTGGATGAAACAGAATCATGTCTAAATATTGGGAAAAAACTTTATGCATTCTGGAGAACCATGAATTTTATCAGAGAGCAATACTGTAATGCAAGCTTAAGGTACTCAAGATTTACAGTGAGATCATGAATAAGAGCTACAAGATTTCACATGAAAATTCAGATATGACATCTAAAAATCTGCTGTATTTCACCCTATCTTAGACCACTTACAGGCCAAGTCAATTAATCCTACTGGTTCTAGAAGTGGGATCTACAGGTTCATCTGATTTTAAATACCAGCTATGAAGACTTCTGCATCTGAGCTTGTCTAGACTTTCTTTGTATTCAGTGGATAGAAGTGGTCAAAGGCACGATTTTGTGTGATATTAAGGTAGACAAGTATCCCAGGTTAGTCACATTGTAGAAGTGACCATTTTTCTCCTGTTACCCTGAAGAAGCCACTGTGACTGTTTATATGGTAGCAATGTTTATATGGAAGAGTGAGAAGTCCCAGCTTGACATAAATGATCACTGCAGCACACTGTAGAACCATGAACCATCACAAATGCTCATCTGCTTGTAAGTGCTTGAACTGATGATGACACTCACTGAGAGGGGCAGGATCTAACTTGCCTTCAGAAGAATCTAGCCCATCCCCAGAGATGGTAGATAAGTAGGGTTCTTCTTTGCACCAATATTTCATTTTTTCCTTCATTAGTGTTACTGTAGGTATGCATAAATAAAAATACCCCTTAACCAAATCTATCGCAAATGTGAGAAAAACTCTGTTAACAGTACACATGGCAACTAAATTCTTGTTGATAAACTAGGACTTTTATGACAGAAGTTTGTATTTCATATTTTAGTACATTGGGGTGAACATATATTTTCAATTATGTGTCTTCAAGATTTACAATATGCAGCTTGTTCTTGGCAGTACTTCAGCTATAGCAGCTGTATCAAGTAATTTACTAAGAACATGTTCTCATGACTGCCTTGTCCCAAAATGCAATTTAGTCCAACAAAATCTTGCATTTGCTTCTTAGAGATTTCCCTCAAGCTCGAAATTAGTAGCTGAACATTGCAATTAATACATTCCAAACCACATTATGTGCAACTGGGCTCATTTGCAGAACAGTAGAACTCGTCCTTATAGTGTAAATTGCTAATTTTTCATGTAAATATTTAATGCTTTGTAAAATCTGTTAGAAAATGCCTAGTGTGAATAATATTTCTAAGACTTATGTTCCTGGTTAAATTTTAATTTGGCCTGTGGAAAATAGAACTCACAAAGTTTGTCTTTGGAAACTACTTGTACTTCAGGAGCTTGTACTGAAAGAGAAGCAAGGCTGAGGAGTGTACATTGAACCCCATGCACTTAGAAGACCAGGGAATCCCATACACTGTTCTTCCCTGGTGTATATTACTTTGAGTACCTCAAAATAATTCTTTTTTTCCCTTTTTTGTTGCAAAAACCAAGTTTCCTGTTCCTCTTGTTCTTCTTGTCACCATCTGTAATATGACAGTGCAATAGCGATCACAAAGCACAAACTTTCAGTAGTTTCTCTGTCCACACAACTGCATTTTAGTAGCATCTGGATTTGTTTTAAGCTTCTAAGTATTCTGTGATTCAGCTCCTTCACATTTATTCTTTGCTTCTTTAATTCATCTACCTCCAAAGTAATTTAAAAA